AGAGAAGGAAGAGCTTTGAAAACTCTGCCTTGGGTAAAGGTGAGATTGTTCTATCCTGGAAAGGTAGGAACGATTTGGGGTGGAAGGACAATAAAGAAGCAGGCAGTCTGAGATAGCTCGCTCAGAGGGTGAAAAGTTTTCATGTAAGGTGAATTACAGACAATTCACTCAGACAATGACGGTAGGAGGTCATCAAAGTCAGTTGCTCTTTCTACTTGCAAATACACTTCTTTTCACTGGCTTCCGAGAATATGTTGTCTCCCATTTGCTCCCAGCTTTCCTCCTCTCACCCCTATCCTCCACCTGTTGTGAACCAAAACACCATCACCCAAGCACCACCTAGAACACCACCCACAATGGTTAAGATCATACTTTCAGGCATCCTACTTACCTTTGGCATTTCCAAGGTCACTGAGGCTGGCTTCCTCGACGATGGCTGTGGCTATCTCAACGATGGCCCTCAGTTCAACCTCCGCGATGACGGCAGTATCACTACCTACTGCAACGAGAAGATCTGCGGTGCTACTTCCTTCAGCGTCATTAACCTCAACGACTGCATCTCCAACGTCCTCGGCGACTTGGAGATCAAGCCTGAGCACCACAAGACGTGAGTTTTTCTCTAATCAGCACTGCGGTCCTCCAAATCGAGTGCCAAACGACTGACGTCCACATAGGGGCGACTTCTGGAAGACTTGCAAGGACTGTGGCGCCGACAGCTGGGACAGCCTCAAGTGCCAGTGCGAGACTCTCGACGGCACGTATAAGGAGACCCATATCAACCTCAGTAAGTGCCATGTACAATTTCCTCCTTCCCAAAGTCGACATTTGCTAATAAAACTACCAGACGAGGTCCTCGACAACTGGAATGGCTACCTCAGCTGCGGCGGCGGCATCTCGGACTGTAACCGGATCAAGTGGGCTTGCAAGCCTGAGGACTGGTGGCCCGAGGGTGCGCCTCCCAAGATCTACACTACGGACTGCGACATCTGGTCCTAGACCTTACGAAAAACCTGCAAATTCTTTCCCTCCACTGCAATTAGACGAGTGGCTCTGAACTGGCAGTTGAATACTTGCTCGTCTTGTCGGAGGATGAATGGCGCATTGGAAAGGGCGCTTTAGACCTGGCCTGTTCATGGGGCAAATTTGGCTGTGGCTTTTGGAAGAACTTAGAGGGGCATAATTATCAGCGCAGTTCAAGCTTCTGGTTTTGCTTCCTTAGATAATAGATACTGGAGTTTCGACGAAATTTTGCCCAATTTTTCCTGCATCACCGAGAGAAGAAAAGCACACGACCTACTCCCAAAAGAGTCGCTGTACGACAGAGGCCTCTCACTCTCGGCCGTAGTGATGTCAGTGAAGTCATTCTGAAACTACCGGCGCTCTCCGGAGGTGGTCAGCTAGACTGCGGCGACCGGATATTTTGAAGTGAGGTAAGCGGAGTAGACATATTCGACGGCGATCGGTGACCTTCCACTCTCATCGGCTCCATGAGCGGAGTTGCCCGACGACGATAGGCGACAGCGCGACTGTAGTCAGACGTGATTTGACTTGCAAGTAGCGGCGGCCCACGTGACAAGCGAGGCGAGAGCTCACGTTACACACCGGTTGGTGGATGTGGGGGCCGAAAGAAAGGACATGACGCTGGAGAAGCGATGAGATTCAAAAGTTCTGGCTTACACATCACAGTGCATGATGCCGAGCGCTGACATGGCGCTGGCCGGTGTGTCGGTGGAAGTCAACAGCATTTGCCTGCCAAGTGAATGCGACAAGCTGGGAAGGTGGGGTTTCGCCGCAATTCTTAACTGCAGCAAACTGAATTCGAGGTCTTGGAGGGCATAGTGAGGCCGGTGGGTTGTGTGAGATGTGCGTGAGAGACGCCAGAAACGCGAAGCGCTCGTTTCGTCCGTGCACTGTAAGCAGCGAGTGTGTTTGGGCGTACTCGGTGCGGTTCAGTAAACAGACCTCGTCAAACAAGGGCGGAGACAAACACGAAATTCGCGGCAGCTAAGCGCCCCGTAAACCAACGAGGAAAGAAACATCGACTTGCACGGTTGAAGAATGAGACCAGATCTGGACTGTTGAATCGGAGAGATATTCCTGTCTCTGCCGGATTTCCAGGAACCGGGGGGCTGAGGCCGAACCTTGAGCCACTTTTCTCGGGGCAAGCCACATCCGGCAGCCAATGGCACGGTTCCTCCTCGGACTTTGAGGGTATCTGATTGGAGTCCCAAACGGCAAGAGCTTTTATAATGGAGACTGCTCAAATAGTGCAGGTACGTACCCTGAGTGGGCGTGGCGCAGGCGCATCCAAGTCCGGGACCTGCCTTGTTTCAATGGTCCTCTCCCGCTGTGTCTTTCCACTCTTTTTAGGCTCCCGCACCTTGTTTCCCGCGCTTGTTTCCTTCCATTTGCTCAATCCAGTCATTGCGATGGCTTCCTCACATTCCCTCCCGTCTTCTTCCCGCGTACCGCAGCAAACCACACTGCCGACACCACCACCGCGCTTAGAATCCCACTCCCGTCTCTTGGCCAAAGCCGGCCCATCCGCTGGTTCAACCGGTATGGCGCTTGTTCGGGTCTTGTGACTCTTCACGGATCGTGGATCACATACCATCCGCAAGTGAGAGCGAGTCTGCCTCGCCAAATTTCGACACGAGCTTCCTGGATCCACCGCAATGCCAACCCTTGCATTGATATCGCCAAACTCTACTCTACTCTACTCCACTCCACTCTATCCAACCTCAGTCGGCGCTGACGTTTCTTTCTCGGAAGGCATACCATGAAGCCAACATGACCTGCGGCCGGGCCTAGGTCCGTGATCGACCGGCCCAATCTGTTAATCAATCTACCACCAAGGTGTGTAACCAAGTTTCAGCTGCAACAGCCTCACATTCAGCACCACGTTTTCGCCAACCGAGAAACAACTTGCTGGAAATGCCATTGGCCGTCATTCTGACGCACCGCCGGGGTGCCGCAGGTCATTTCCGGCCTTGCATGACTCCAGAGCCACATCATTCCTGTTCCTGTCATCGGCCTTTGGTATGGCAACACAACACCACCAGATGCCCGATCTGAACCCGCTGCCGTCACCCTTCTGAATGACTGCGTTTTCGCACGCACGCCTTGAACCACATCCAGCAATCAGCAGTTTGTGCCGAGGCCAAGTCCGAAGTCAGTCATGCCAGGTGTGGGACAGCTGATATCCAAAGTGGCCAGCCTGTGGTCTCATTGGCAAAACCACCACCTTTCAGCCCTATCGCATCCTCCCCGCATATGCAAGCCAAGGACACCCCGTCACTTGGGGAATTGGGATGACATATCCCGCGGGAACATGACTTGCGATATTCGGACGACACTGTCACACCAGCGAGTCGGTATCCTATTGAGTTTTCAATACGATCAACCTTCTGTACACGACCCTCGACAGTGATCGCCGATATCCGCGCCGTCGTCATTGTGGGTCTTCTCCACCGTTCCGTCTCGTCGCCGCTCCAGTCCCGGCTGTCTGCGGCGTGAACTCCGACGGTTGAATTCGCGTTCGCTTGCCACCGCCCGAACACCACGCAAACCTCGTGTCTGCACGATGGATGCAAATCTCCATGAGCGGCCTTATGTCCATCTTGATAAGATTGTTTCATATGCCAACATGCTCCGGACCGACGGGCTGCCAAGGGCAAAAGTCCTCTGGGCCCCGTGTCAGCTGCAGAGCCACGGTCTGGTCTTGCTGCAGTGCAGTGCGTCCTACACCGGCCACCTAATCCGCAATGTTCACATCCGCCTGCAGACATCTCCAAAGTGTTTTGATCAATCAGAGTCTGAAGATGGCTGGTCGTGAGCGACCGTTGCGCGCCATGCCACGGACTTGACCACCCGCTAAAATCTCACCTAGGCGCATCGCCTTTCACTCGGGACCCAACGACGAGCTGTTTCGTGCTGACCTCGTCCCGGAGCACCCTATCAACTATGAGCCATCGTAACATCTGCCTGTAGGGCTGCATCGCACACCCTTGCACGCGGTCTGTCACATCCCAGGACGTGCATCATGGCTGCCCACCCGTCCCGGCAGCTGGGTTTCGCACGACCACGATCTCATCGTCATTGTCCAGGGTGACTCCAGGAAACCCGCAAAGACAAAAATATGTTTCCTTTGTAAGCTTGTATTCGGCCGAGCACCGGTCCTGCTCCTACCAATCATCGGCTTGAATTGCTTCTTCTCTCCCATCGCTCCACAGAGGCCGCACCCCCTTGCCGTCCCGACCTCGACATCCGAACATGCTCAGAATTCACAACAATCTACCCACAGCCGGTTTTCTGGGACGGCGTCGGCATGGGGTCGGAGGGCTGCTGGCCACCTGTTTGGGTGCTCCTTGTCCAAGCCCGTCTTAGCTCGTGGCTCGACCTCGTTGACCTCTACCTTCGGGAGCCATCAATCAGCCCCATCCCCAGCCCCGTTACACAGACTTTGGACTGTCATGTATCCCACGTTTAGAGCCTCGGAGTTCACACTCCCACGACTGGCGCGGTGTTAGGGGTGGACACGTGTGGCTTAGACTTCCCGCTCCCGTCTTCCGTCCACCACGGACGTGTGTTGTTATGTTTGAACTGTCATCTTTTTGTTTTCAAACAATCATAATCACCATATATTTGACCATACAGAGCGTCTATGATATCCATAATCAGCCACCTTGGCATTCATTGCATGACAATCTCTCGGTGTTACTCACACGCGAACCTCTCTCACTTCTGATTGAAGCTCAAGGGTGGCTCTGCGAATGCATGTTCACATCATCGTCATACGCTCTCTCCGTTTACCTTCGATTCGGACATCACTCTCCCAACTGCGGACACCAATCTTACCATTCTGGCGGCTATCTCCAATCTTGTTTGAGCACCGACGTCACTCGGCATAGAGCTTCGTTAGCCGGAAAGACCCCTGGCTGCCTCCTTTGGACGATCTGAACACCCTCTGAACAGCTTCTTGGAGCTGAGCGCCTGCCGTGATGAGCCCGACACCCGAAGAAGCATCGGAGCTGGATATATCATCGAGCTCGCCCGACTTCAAGTCCTGGTCTCGAAGCAGCAGCATCACCAGCAGACACACCAACATCACCGAAGTCAACGACCCCCTCGAGGACGCCGAGTTCACAGTTCAAGACATCCTGTCTTCTTTTTCATCATCCCGTGCCGCTCAGAAGTCGCATTCTTCCCGCACACCACCAACAATGTCTTCGTCACGTTCCGGTCGTTCAGGAGGTTCATCCAGCCACCGCAGCTCCAAGAGTAGCAAGAAGCCAAGGGCGGTCCAAGTTAGTGAAGGCCTCTTCTTTGTACTATCGCCCCGCCCCGTCCCTACTCATCCTTCCCCTCCCTTCTTCATCGGACAGAAACCAACTCTCTTCATGACCGCTGCATGTGCGCTTCACCCTCCGACACCCATACTGACAGAAGCCACACAGCGCTCCGTCCAGCAGCTCATCGAGTCGCTCGAAACCCACCGGGTAAACACCCTCACAGAGCTCTGCCGGATCGAGCGCGTGGCCGCGACCTGCGAGAACGAAGAGGACGCCGTCGCCTTCCAGGGCCCCATGACAGCGGCCTGGGACTACTACGTCAACAGCAACCAGCTCCTGAGCGAGCTGCGCGGGATGACGCGCAGCTACCCGATCTGCAGCGACATCCTCTACGACGCCCACGTCCGCGTGCGCAGCGATCCGAACTCGAACAAGAGCTGGAACCTGGCGTGGCTCTGCTTGACCAAGATCCAGGAAGAGTACGTGGACCTTGATTTTCCCGGGAGCTTTTGGAGCTGACGCACTTGCAGTGGCCTAGTTGACGGATACGCCGGCGTCGAGGCCGTGAAGCCTGAGATGTGGGGAGGCCGCGAGCCCTCAGCGGAGGAGGCGGAACAGCTCAAGGCGTGCTTCGTGTACGAATGGAACAAGGCCTTGAGTGCCATGCTCAGGCATTGGGCTGTCGATCCAGTCTGGTACTAGATGCAGGCTCGGCGCCACGCAGGTGGTGGCGCATGTGCGGGCTCGGGGATAAGAGATGACGGTGACGAAGATGGTTGGTGTATGCGTACAGACAGCGGCGCATTTCACAGGCACTTGACCTTGCAGCATTTGGAGGATAGCGAGCGACATTCTTTTTCTCGGGCGACATTGGCATCAGCATCAGCATCGGCAGCGGCATCGGGGAGCGAGCATCAGCGTCGCATTGGCATCTTACACCTCTCCGTCTCACGACGATTTTCGACCATGGTTCATTCTCTTTCTCATATTTCGTCTACAGCATTTTCCTTTCTTGGTCTTTCATGGAGGGATGGTCTTGGGCTGGACACAGGACTTCTGGCAAGTCCTTAGATTCTCATAGCGGTAGATGAGAGGTTCCAATTGAAGCCTTTGTTTCCGGTAAACTTTCCATTTGGGGTCCAAAAAACTGAACGTTACGGCGGTCTTTGGACCTGCGCCCACTTATCCACCAGGGCGGGAGCGGACCGACCAAATCCACCGTCGCCGGGTTCCGGCCCCACCGGCGATCCGTCGGCGTCCCGGATCCTTTACTGTGACAGCTCATCCAACCAGGCGGTGTCAAGACAGGATTTGCAAGTCGGACCAGGCAACACGATTCACGCGGCTCCTTCGTACTTATTTGGACGCACGGAGGATACAGCCCTGCCATGCACCATACGCCCCTGTTGGTCCGCAGTACGAAGCTGGCCAAGGCTGTAGGGATTAAAGGCGAAGAAGTACAGAATAGATTGGCAGAGGGGAAACATGGGGGTCACATAGGATCAGGTGCCTTGGGACGGAGACGACCCTTGAGTGGGATGAATTGTTACCCCAAATATCATGCTTGGCGTTGGAGATGCCAAGAGGAGGCTTAAAGAACTACATCGTTGGGGGTTGACTTCATCCCCTGGTATCTGCACATTATCTCCTGGCCCAAACTGCTGATAGACGTGTTTTTACGAAAGTTCTCGAATTTGAAGTGCTGAAGTTGAGGAGTAAGCGCTCCACGAAATGTTCGGCGGAGTTTAGTCAGGCTGTCAGAGCTTGCGTCAGCAGTATCGCCCGGCGGACTTTGTAAGGCGCAACGAACTCCGACTCCGTTTCGATGGCAGGATTTGAAATAGGGCTTCTGGTCATCTGGGTGAATTTGAGGTTCTCGATACCCTGTTAAATTGTTCCTGCTGTCTCAGTTGTGCCTATTACCCTTCTTTCTCTTGTATTCACCGTCGCAGCTTCCATTATCACCTTCATCTCCGTCATTGGCCTCGTCGTAGTTCTTGCCCGTTTGTATCACAGCCATCAAAAGTTACATAAGCTGGGCTCTCCAGTAAGTTGATAAACAATTGAGATTAAAGCAGCATGTCACTTTGGAGACAGATTAAATAGTGAAGTCATGACACATTAGTCAAATCTCATTACCGATTCTACAATTACACGCTAACATACAACCCCTTAGAACACATAGCGGAACGACAGGTTCTCCCTATCCGTCATGTCCTCAAACGCATGAGCGGTGTAGTCGGGAGACGCCTCCGCGACGCCCGAGGCGGCCATCTCGTCTCTCTTCTTGTTCTGCCTCGTGAGGTGGATCCGTAGCCCGATGATGATGAGGATGAGCAGGGCGTAGCAGCCGAGGTGGGTCGCGAAGGCGATGAAGTAGCGCGGGGCGTTCCAGCTGAGGAAGACCTGGGGCCCGATGGCGTTGCCGGTGGCCCAGATGATGAAGTTGAGGGCGACGGCGATCTGCTTCTTGGTCTGGCCGGCGATGTTGCGCGAGATGAGGGAGAGCGCGAGGGTCTGGGCGGACCAGAAGGAGAGGGTGATGTAGTAGCAGATGAGCAGGCCGATGTGCTGTGAGAAGGTCTTGTTGGGGAGGGTCATGAGGAGGACGGTGCCGACGACGGAGCTGAACGTCTAGTTAGCGGGTGTTTCTCTGCGAGATGTGGTTTAGGGGTAGGGGACTTACGGGACGCAGAAGCCGAGCATGACATAGAGGTTCTGGCCCGTCTTCTTGACCAGCCAGACGGATCCGAGAAGCACAAAGATGATGTAGAAACCGAGAACCATGGCGAGAAGCTGCACCTCGAGCGTGCTGAAGCCGAAGCTCATGATGATGATGTTCGCAAAAGCGCCGAGGCCAGAGGTGGGCAGGGTGGTGCACAGCGCGATGAGGGCGTATCCCCAGACCTGGGGATCTGTGAGGGCCTCGATGGCCTGCTCGCGCTTGAACTTCTTGTTCTGAATACCGGTCTGGTTGTCCCTCACACGCTCGACCATCTCCCTCTTCTCCTGCTCGGTGAAGCACTTGGCGCGCATGGGGGAGTCGGGCATCCAAAAGAGAACGAAGACGCCGAAGATGACGGAGATGACGCCGTAGACGAGGAACAGCCACTGCCAGGACTTGAGGGGCCCGGTCTTGATGTGGGTGAAGCAGTACGCGAGGAGACCGCCGACGATCTGCTGGGCACCGTTCATCATGTACCAGTACGTCACGCGGGAGGCCTGCTCCTCGCGGCGGTACCACAGCGAAGAGAGAATGACGAAGGCCGGCTGGCAGGCGGATTCGAAGATTCCCAGCAGAGTGCGGACGATCACGAGGCCGGTGAAGTTTGTGCAGGCGGCGTGACAGGCGAGGATGGTGCCCCATGCGATGATGGAGAATGAGAGGTATTTTGCGATGGGGAGACGGGCGATCAAGTAATTCTGCGGCCACTCTACGAACAAGATGGCCTGGGAGGGGTGTTAGCTTGTCAAGTCTTGTTGATTGTGACGTGTGATGACTATGCTCAGGGCCAACGAGTTTAGTTGCGGTGTAATACAGTGAAGACTTACGATGTAGATACAGGTTGTGAGCCACGAGAACTGCTGCCCCACAAGGCCGGTGTCCTTCTGCAGTCCCATGACGGAGGCGAAGGACATTGTGCCCTTATCGATGGCCTGGAGGAAGTATGTGCAGATCATGACGAGGAGGATGCGGCGGTCGATCTTCTTGCGGAGCTCGTCGCTGCGCTCCTTGGAGACGGTGATGTCGCCGCCGATGTACTGCGAGAGTTCGTTGTCGACATTTTCGAGGCGGGTTGCTTGCGCCTTCTCGTACGAGGGTGTGCGTTCGAGTTCGGTGAGGGTGGGCTTGGCCCCTGGGGCGTCGGTCACTTCTTGGGAGGCCATGTTGTGATGATGTGTTTGGTGAGAACGACTGCACTTAAGCGCCGATATAAGACTCAAAGCTCTGATGACTTCTTTGGAGACCTTGAAGTCACGCTCTCAGAAGGGGAAAGAAAGTGAGTGACCTGGACAAGAGTGTCCAGACGGAACGGATGCTACCCAGTTCTATATAAGAGCAGATCAGGGTGGAGTATGAGGTGATGAGTGCACCCGGCCTTGGATATCGCCCTTTCTTATTCGGGTCGCCTGTCAAACCCCGGATCTAACCCTCACTCTCTCCTCATTCTTACCCCAAGATTTCCTGTTGGGAGGCGCGTGTTCCCCAGTGGGGAGGTTTCGGTCCCCCGCGAAAAGGGACGACGAGAGCGAACAGGAACCCCCACGAAGCCCGGGGAAAAGGGACGTCTGCGATTCGAGGATGCCTGGGCCAGGAACTCGCGACAGCCAACAGGACGAAGGAGAGAGGTGGGTTCACTTGGGGCATCATTCGACCGAGATGGGCGACGAGGCGTGGTCTGAGTCTCACACGCCCCTTTGGACCTTCCCAAACTCCTACTATCTGGAGAACGCGAGACGGAAATAGGCCGCAGATTGGATGGGAGGCTTGCACCACGGTACCCATCACCTATGGGTAGGACGGCACGAGTCAAGTTTGGGGTTGGTTGGGGAGCCGGCTGATATGGGGACTGGGGTCTACGGGGTTGGTACGGGGTGACGGCGGGCGTGAGTGCATTGCTCGAGGCATGGTTCAGACGGTGGACACGGCTAGTTTTTGTTTCTGGCTGCGCGTTGCATGGGTGGCGAGGCAATCCCGGCAACGGAGCGTCAACGGCTTCTGTGTTTGGATCTTGGGGGACTCGTCGCCAGTCGTAGACTCTGTGTTGAGATGTCTCACTTGAATCGGGTTTTCTTCACCGAGGAGAGAACGAGACTGTTGGAGAGGCTCTTTGCCAAGACGGGCGGTCTACGGCACTGAACGGAAGGGCAAGGGGAAGACCTCTGGGCAGATGTAAATCTGGCGAGTCGGCTCGGCTTTTGGGGTGTAATCGACAGGGGATAGGATTGGCTTGGTGTGAGGGGTGCGACGGTGATGGGATCAGGGCGGGTTGGCCTGAAAGGTGTCTCTAGCGTCGGCGAATGCCCGCGTCTTTGGGCTTGGAAAAGCTTGATGGAGCGTGCGGCTGCCTCGGAGTGCTTACTTGGCAGGTCAGTGTTAAGCCGCATAGTGCGGTCATGTCTAAACGGCTGAAAAGAACTTGGTGATAGGTCACATGGGAGTGCAAGATTTGTGGCAATTGGCCGGGGACTGAGCCAGGGGCTTTGGGGGCTGGGAGAAATGGAGGTGAACAAGGGGAGAGAGAAGCATCTATGTAGGCAGTCGGAGATAGTGCAGTGGTTCCATTCGCTGTGATGATGTATGTCGTGGCATACCAATTATGACATGAAGGAAATCAGATACGCGTTCTTAGATATCCATGGATAAGGTACTTGGGTTTTCTCTAGTTTCTGTGTGATGTAGGGCTATGCTGTGTTGGGGGCGGATTTCCAGCGAACACAGTTTACGAACAAGCATCGCGAGGATGACCAGAGTTCTGGAATTGCAATTAAAGCACATTAGGACCTTGTCCAGTGGATTTGTCCGGTCTAGTTCGCTCGACCACACTCCGCTCGACTCCGCGTTGGAATTGTGCTTGAGTCGGGTCGAGTTGTGCACATCGCTTTGGTCAGCAGAAGTGCTGGAGCCTCCCGTCTCTCTCCGCAACCGCAACCTAGGGGAAATGGGGGGAAGCCCGCTGTTTCCCCTCAAATCTCCTCCG